AAAGCAAAGAAAATACCTAATTAAAATTTGGTAGCAAGAATTTCATCAAGCTACACTCATTGCTTTATTGGGAGATATTCCATGCTCACTGAATTTTGACACCGGCCGCAAGTCTGGCCGTAAATTTGTCAGAGATGGCCGTGTTGCACAGAGTTTCTAGCTCGTTGAGATGACTGAAGGAAGTGCGGCGTCCAGGCCTCCATCCGTTCATAAAGAACACGACTGACAACAGCGCTGCATAACTGCGACCAACAAACAGCGACAAATAAAAATGAATGCAGCATTAGATTAATAGCTTATTAGCTTGTACAGATTTGAATAAATTTAAATATTCATCAACAGTGAAACTCCCTTGCTGTAATACTTTTCAAACTTGGGTTCTTTTATTTAATTAAAATAATATAATTTCTTATAATTACTGCGTCCCTTTTCCCAGCTGACGTCAACACTGCAAATCCAGCCTTGCTTCAGTCGTGGAACTCTAACCAATTTATATTGTTATTGTAAATATTTTTCGGGAGCAGTAATTGTATGACGAGAATATAGCGTTGTAAATGACTGAGTTTCATCGATGATAGATAAAGGCTCCACCTATATTGCACCAATGATATAGGCTACCACTCTCTATAAAGCAAGTTCACTTAGTATCCATTAATTCGTTGTTAGATTAATAACTAACAATGAAATCAATTTTAGCTCATTTATTTAATGATTCAACAACCTAACCTTTCTAACACTGCCCTGCCAAAATTCTTAGGTATATGCCTTTTACTTTAATTATATACTCCATTAAAACAACGCGTGAAACACCGTATTGAATCTTTTCTTTTTATATCCTTTCATTGTTATTAAATCATCACTATTTGGTACTGAATATGCTGTGCTCGCCTCTGCCAAGCTATCATGATGCAAAACATAGATTATTTCGTTAGCTTCTATTTGAAATTAACATTTGTTGATCGTTGCTTTCCTATTTTGCTTCTACTTCTGCCGCCCTAATTCTTTCCTTTCATTTTGATGCCGGTACATCACCACCATATCCTGAACCACCACGAGCCGTTCATTCCTCATTGTACGCGGCCCTCGAAACCCATATAAATACACAGATAGGCTGAGATAGCATGTATTATCCATGTATTTATCCATACAATGTGCATTCATTGTAGGGATAAATGAAATGATATTCCTCGAATTCACTTTAACGTTGCTGTAATATAGAGCTATGAAGTAACAATAAAGTAATATTGTAATTCACTGGCTAGGTTAGTTCTCGATTTTCCGGTATAGCTGTATAAGGTAGGACGGGCCGCTGCAGTTTATGCGGCGCTGCTGGTCCGCTCCGACTGGAAAGCCTGTTTAGCTGTGATTGCCTCCTTCTTTCTTCCCTGTGTATTATTTATATTATTTATTACTTAACTATATAATAAAAAATATCCCGTTTAACTAGCTTCTCATATTCATGTGAAGTTTGCCTTAGCTTTCGAAGCAATGTCTTTGTTTCAGCTTATCGAATAAATGTTTAAAAAACAAGGAACTAATGATATGCATGTCTATTTCGATGGCTATATTGTAGCGGATCGCGCTACAAAACTATGTTAATGTTGGAACCAGCGACATGAAGCAAGCACATTTCATATACTAAACAAACACTTTCACCGCAGAGGGCAGAATTTGTATTGTGTACCTCTTTAAAATATATAAAATAAGCGTATATAGTAGCTCGTTTGACTTTCGCTTTAAAACAGATTACATTATACAACCCCTGGCGAAAATTATGGAATCACCGGCCTCGGAGGATGTTCATTCAGTTGTTCAATTTTGTAGAAAAAAAGCAGATCACAGACATGACACAAAACTAAAGTCATTTCAAATGGCAACTTTCCAATGGCTATACGGAAGTGTACAATATTCCAGATCGATTGGAGAGGTAGAAGTGTGTTAAATATCGAGTGTAAGATTTGTAGCAGACAGACAAACAATTTGTAGCAGACAGACAAAGAATTTGTAGCAGACAAACAATCTGTAGCTGACAGACAAACAATTTGTAGCAAACAGACAATCAATTTGTAGCAGACAGACATACAATTTGTAGCAGACAGACAAACAATTTGTAGCAGACAGACAAACCATTTGTAGCAGACAAACAATCTGTAGCAGACAGACAATCAATTTGTAGCAGACAGACAAAGAATTTGTAGCAGACAAACAATCTGTAGCAGACAGACAAACAATTTGTAGCAAACAGACAATCAATTTGTAGCAGACAGACATACAATTTGTAGCAGACAGACAAACAATTTATAGCAGACAGACAAACCATTTGTAGCAATAAACAATCTGTAGTAGACAGACAAACAATTTGCAGCAGACAGACAAACAATTTGTAGCAGACAGACAAACAATTTGTAGCAGACAAAAAATTTGTAGCAGACAGACAAACAATTTGTAGCAGACAGACAAACAATTTGTAGCAGACAGACAAACCATTTGTAGCACACAGACAAACAATTTGTAGCAGACAGCCAATTTGTAGCAGACAGACAAACAATTTGTAGCAGACAGACAAACAATTTGTAGCAGACAGACAAACCATTTGTAGCAGACAGACAAACAATTTGTAGCAGACAGACAAACCATTTGTAGCAGACAGACAACCAATTTGTAGCAGACAGACAAACAATTTGTGGCAGACAAACAAACAATTTGTAGCAGACAGACAAACAATTTGTAGCATACAGACAAACAATTTGTAGCAGACAGACAAACAATTTGTAGCAGACAGACAAACGATTTGTAGCAGACAGACAAACAATTTGTAGCAGACAGACAAACCATTTGTAGCAGACAGACAAACAATTTATAGCAGACAGACAAACAATTTGTAGCAGACAGACAAACAATTTGTAGCAGACAGACAAACGACATGTGAAGTTAAAGCGAAGTGTGATAAAAAAATACTCAAGTCTCGCGCTGGCCCCTCCCCCTCTCGATCGAACGCGTTCCGTACAGGTACGTCGGACGCGTGCTACTTCACTAAAATTTTATTTTTAAATATCTTTTCTTTTTTAAATAGAAGAAAATAATATGAAATGTCGAGCTTTCGATGACCAAAACTTTACATAAAATTATAATGGCTGTTCATCTGTTAAAATAATCGTCATATTCAACAACATAACGTACCATATAATATATAGAGACAACTTCAACGACAATGACATCGCACAGAAGAAAAAAGTATTCACATTGAAAGATTATTCAACATTTTACAACAATTCAAAAATAAAATTTATATTATTCAACATTAATATGAAACACAATGCAGTTCTGTACGGCGGTACCTGGCAACTCTTCCTCCAAGGCCGTTGCCATCACAGCAAGACTCAGATGCCCGTCAACAGGCAGTCGCTGAGTGGCAGTGTCGCTAACAAAATACGTTTAAACAATCAAATTATTGAAGTTATTCTACTCATGTGCAAATCTTTATCTTATAAATCTTGGTGCTATTACTTATATTTTTTCAGCTTTTATTCGTAAAAAACCAACTTCGTTTCTCTATGCTCGTCTTCTTGTCAAGTTCAGGCTTGTCAAGATAATTAGCTTGAAAATCTGCTGTGCGTGTTAGAATTATATCAAATTTCAAACGTCTTTAAATTGTTAATATAACGTGACGCAGAAATCAAGCTTAAATTCCGTTAACTGATAGCCATGTTCGAATTAGAAAATTCGTTCAAATTCATCTAATTTATTAAGTTGATTATTAGTAATATTAGTATTAATTAGATTAGTAATATTATTACTCATTTACTCCCAGGCTGGACCATCTGGCCCTTGCTCCCTGTCTGAAGTCTGGGTAGCCCCTCCCGACAGGCAAGAGCCACTAACGTCTCACTGTGACTAATCTAGTTTTGAGGTAGTTTGAAGTAACAGAACAACCATCTGGGCATCAGTGTACAACCTTGCCTCTATCCGAAGGGTACCCCAGTCTCACTACTACTGGCCATCCAGACGTGAGGCGAGTGGTGAAACTTAAATTAGTATCCTAGCATATGTTTCGGACGTAGCAGTCCCAGGCCACGATGGATCACCGCCTCTGACTATCGAGCATCCACCCTTATTTGGGCCACCTGATGCACGATGCTTTTGCTGGTTTCTCGCCGCTGGTAGTGGTGCAGGAGCGGGCGATCAGGGATTGTGCCCAGGAACACGTCCAGTCGTCTTTTGAAGGTCTGCTGGGTGAACTCTCCCTCTCTTAGATCCTTTGCTAGGACTTTAAACAGCCTCGGCCCTGCAACGGAAAGAGATCCTGCAGTCTCCTCCTTCTCTCGTTATGGTATTTTTCAATCCTTAAGGTTTCACTTCCAAAGTTTGGTCCCATTCCGAATATTATTTTCCATGTGTACAGAATGACATAACTGTCCCGCCTCCTCTGATGGAGGCCACTAACCCATTTCTGAACTAATCTGGGGAGGTGAAGGAGTCCGTGAACCCGAATTCACGCAGAGCTTGACGCACGCCATCCACCAGAGAGGAGTTAGCAACAACACCGTACGCGACGTTACCGCGCAGCGTCGTGGTCAGCAGCGCCTCCGCTCCCGCCAGCATGGTCGCCCTATAGTGCTGCGTTGGCAGGTTTTCAGAATGCTTTGTTTTCAGTTACAAAGTTCATTAAAGTTACAAATATGATAGTGGCTATTTCAGCCTATTTGTAACATGCAAAAGTCCATGTTGACCATTCACCATTTCAATGCCATCAATCAATGCCAATTTCAATTTGCCATTTCAAATTGCCATCAAATTGCACCTAAATAGCACTGTATGAAGTTATCGAGTGCTATAGCTGCAGTACTCTCAGTTGTTGTCAATGTCTCTGGGGCGTGGAGCAAAAAATTTGCATCTTCAAGCCATTGAATTTGGTATCATTGACCTATGTTTTGTATACATTTTTTACAGTAAAGAATATTAACAAGCAGGAATTGTTTCTAGATCAGAGATTGCTTCAACCATGGAGAAAAATAACTATTTTTTTGTATAGAATGTCTCTCTCTATCAATTTTGCTTCAGAGTGGTTAAAACGAATTTTAATTGGTCTCACTGGATACCTCAGTCACTCTGTTTGGACGTAGTTGAGTAATTTTCCAGGTTTTCAAAAGAAGGAAGAACAAAAGAAAGCTGACATGGCAGATCTAAGGGTTTGCATATGCATTGGCATGAAGAAACTCTTTCTGATGGTTAGAGAAGACACCACAGTGGAGGAACTCGCATATATGGTCAGTAGATATCTCAACCTCAAAATATTTTGGCTAGATCAGTCCATTTTTTGGCATGATTCTCATCTCAGGTGAAATGAAGTTTGAATTCAAAAATACACTATTCATTATGGATTACTGACGTGATGATTTCAAGAGCTATTTTGTACTGCTACAGCCAATATGAATTAAAATTACTCGATGAATGTGGTATTCATATGTACTCTACATATATATATATATATATATGAATAATCTGTGAATTTTCATATTTTATTCCCAAAAATTTCTTTCCCCCTTATGATTCTTAGTCTAATACAATATTACATGACAATTATTTTCGAAACCCGTGTAAACTCACTGATAAATTTTCTATTTACAGATTTTTCTAGAGGCGCTAGAGCAATCCCCTCCTTCAACTGAAGAGCCGTTGTGTTCTTTAATTAGAATGTTCTACAAAGGACGCCAGCTGACCACTCCCAGCCTCACCATGGGAGCTCTCCGTGTGAAGCATGGCGAGCGCATAACAGTTTTGCCCAAGAACAATCATGGATCCACTCCCCAAAAATCTTCCAAAGTTAGTTTGGGTATACTGCAAAGAAATTTTCATGAAACACAACTTTCACCCATTTTTGACTAACTTGAAGTAAATACCAAATTCTAATGACATTTTTTACTTGAAAATGTATACGAAATGTTACATTTTTATTTCGTTAATGTTTGCTCAATGAATTTCTCTGTCGAGTCAATTCTATTTCTATATTGATTATGAATATATTATATTCTAATCGTTGTTTGGTTTCTGGTGTAATTTTCCCTGAATCCAATATTTTATTCACCTAGATTCTTTTAACTACACTTCACTTGAAAAGTTGAGGATTTTTTACTAGTAGTCAAATTTCTGGCAACATTTTCTCCTGCTGTTTATTACAATTCCATTCTGTGTGCACGTGAACTGGATCGTTCACTAATTTTGTTCTGTGTGTGCAGAGTCCAGAACAAAATGCAAATCCTGCCTTCGGAAATTTGCGGCAAGTAAGTGGGCAAGTTTTCAGTTTTATGAAATACCCATGCTTGATTCATGGGCTTATTAGCAGCTGGTTTATAAATACGCGTTCTAGATGCGTTGGAAATAAAATGTGAATTGAAAACATGTTAATGAAAACTTACATCAAATGGCAAAGCTATTGTGGTTCAAGTTATGTTTGTTGTTGTTAAATTTCAAATAAAATGAAGCACAGATGCATTTTTTATCTTTGGGACTGGAATTTTGGGCCCACCATGCTGTACAATGACTTAATTATATGCTTCTCTTCACTATTTAATTGAAAAATTGCTAATTTTCAGCTTGAATTAACTGATATTCGATTCACTGAAGATTGAATAGTCTTCAACTACATACATTTTTTTTTGTCTATGTGAAGACATTTTTCATTATATTTACCTGATAATTCTAAGACATTATAATTTATCTTGTGACTTGTGTTGCAGTTGAATGAGGAAGCGGACTTTTGTGAAGGAAAGGTCCGTGAGCTCTATGAAGACATTAAGTTAGTAGTGCCTCAGCTGGAGGAGTGCCGGAACAAGCTCAAGACCAAATTAAAAGATGTTGTCGCTTGCAACGAGGAGCACGAGAAACTTCTGCTCAAACTCGATGCCATTGAAACTAAGGTCGGAATTGATCTTTTCACATTGAGATGTTTTTGTGTTTTGTGCTTGATTGTCTCGTACATGTTTTTTCTCTAGTGTCTTGTCTTGTTCTTCATTTAATTTCAACTTTAAATTCTCGTATCTTAGAATTTTTAGAATTTTTCCTCTGACTGCTAACTTGCTTTCATTATTATTTTCATTATTATTTTACTAAGCAGTTATCGTGGCGTCTGGTTCAAACAAACTTCGAAGGCACGTTACACATAAGTTTAAGAGCAAGTAAAAGTATAGTTTAGTTAAGTGGCCAAATTTGTATTTAGCTATCTCGCACCGAAAGTCAAGATGAACATCATCAACGAGGTGTAAGGTCTCAATTATTGAAAGTTTCTTGAATCAAAAATCGTTTATCACCAGCAAGGAACAGAAGGTCTTAATTCCAGCCCGCTGAAGCTGGCTCGAAAGAAGCAGCGTTAGCATCTGAAAGTGACGAAGTGACAAGGAGAGACAGGTGATAAGCAGCAGAAACGAAGACACTCGAATAAGAGGTCGCTTACACGGGACGTCGGCCCCCCGCACGAGAGAGACAGAGAAGGGAAATATAGGGAATCTTACCTACTTTTACATAATAACTTAGCCCCACAACTGAGACCCGCAGTCTGCAGACACAGCGAGCTCAGAGGTGAGGCGCTCAGGAACTATCCCCCTGGAGCGCGAAATCCCATAAGACTTCTGACATGCACAGACAAACCATCAGAAATCCCTTCTGATTGGTAGCAAGCGAAAAATAAATGAAGACGTGAAAGGATGAGAACGTATAAAAATGACTAAGCACCAGATTCATAGGCTTTACGATATAGTTCCGTCTTAAGGCGTCGACGAAACACTTGCAACTAAGGAGCCGGTGTTCGGAAGCCGGCAGACTGTTCCAGGTTTTGGCGCGGCAGGGAACGCTCTGTCGCCGTCGGTAGATTGCGTATAGATATAACGACGAGGACCGCTGTTGATGACGAACGCATTCGTCTTCTAGAAGGTAGATCCGACACGCGCTGTAGACATTCCGTGAGATAAGGAGGCGTATGACCGTGAAGGCACCGGATTGTCAGAACAGAGACCTTCAACTGCTTGCGCTGCTGCTTGCGCAGCCAGTGAAGATCACGCAATATCGGCGTTTCGTGGTCTAATTTTCGCTTATTGCTCACGAGTCGCGCAGCAGCGTTTATTACGGAATGCAGTTTACTTAGCGCCGTGTTCGGAAGTCCATACAGCGTGGCATTACCATAGTCCAATCTGGTCAGAACGAGCGCCATTGCGCCGCTATATATGAGGGCCTCGAGAGACAGTGGCTGACGCTACGTATTCGTAGCAGAGCTCCAAGACAAGCGGTAGTGACAGTAACCATAAATTTGGGTGCCGTCGGCAAACATATGCGGATTCAACCGTGGGAATCTATTATGTTCAACACGTCGACAGTATATAAGAGGAAAAAGAGCAGGCCGAGAACTGATCCCTAGCTGTGGTACAACGCAAGTGACCAACGTTGCCGTAGAAGATTTCCTGCGTCAATTAAACGCATCGGAATCTATTGCGTTCCACAGCACTGTCGCGCAGTCCGAATCATACGCTGAATGCTGGAACAAGAATCAACAGCATGGGCCACGGCAACAAACTAAAAAAACTGCGTTGCAAGTCATTCACGCGACAACATTTCTTCTCGCTTCGAATCGCCGACATGTGGAACCGCCTCCGCGATTACATCGTTGACGCACCGAGTATAAACGCGGTAAAGAACAGACCAGGAATATGGAGGAATATATGTTCAGACTTCAAATGCCTAGTACCATATCGAACTCGGTGTACGTGTAGTAGCTATTTCAAACTGTCGTCAGTTTTGAAAAGACCTGTTTTTGAAAGGTCAAAGGACCTGTTTATAGATCTCTTGTGAACAAGTCACGACAAGTACAAGAACACAAAAAACGTATTTAATTATAGCTTATTCAATAAAATAACATAAACAAACGCTATTCTAATGTAAAATTACATGTGAAATATAAATATATCAAAACAACAATATCATTAAATGTTGACTTGATAATTGTAATTATGTACAAGTCAAGGTTCAAAAAGTATCCAGCCATATAGTGAACAAATTTACTCAATACTTCGCAATGTGACCTTTAGCAGCCAAAATTGCTTCTAACCGATAGGAATACTCGTTCACAAGATTAACACGTACATTCGCTAATAGGAATTTGGACCCACTTCCTTGCATATTTCTTTCAATAGGATAAGATTTCTTGGATCTCTCTCCTGCACCCTCAATTTCAATTTCCGCCAGAGATTTTCAATCAGAGAGGTCAGGTGATTGGCTTGGCTATTAAGATTACTCAATGTCTCTCTCCGAAAACCATGAAGAGTTGCCCTTGCCGCGGTGCTTAGGGACTTTGTCTTGTTGAAATATCCAACCTAGATGAAGGTTAAATTTTTTAGCTGACTTCACGAGACATCTCTCAAGAATGCCCCGATACATTTCGGAGTTCATTCTTCCTTCTATGATTTCCAATTCCCTAGGGCCTTCAGAAGAAACAACCCCATAGCATTATTCTGCCACCTCCAAACTTCACTGTTGGGACGGTATTTTTTGGGTGATACGCAGAGTTTTCTGTTTCCAAACACGACTGACACAGTTCCAACCAAACAACTCAATTTTAGTCTCCTCTGACCGTAAAATTTTACCCCGAAAGATTGAAGAACCTAAAGGTTTTCACGTTTTTTTTCACCTTCGTAAATGTGATGGCGATGAATTTTTCCATGCTTACCCAGCTATTTTCAAACGGTGGACAGTAATAAAAAATATATAACTTTGTATTACATGAGTTATGATGAATGAAATTCCAAGAAACTTTGAATAATAATGTTCATCAAGTCTGCGACTCTAACTTTTTTCGAGATGTCAACGGGTTAAAATTTTTATTCCCTGCTGAATGGTAAACGCGGCATTTCTCAATCTGCTTCCTTCTTGTAGATATTAGATATGCATGTACTAAGTCCAGCAGCTATCTCAATCAATCGTCAGTTATGGAACTTGTGAATCAAGTCACGAAAAATTCAAGAATCGACAACAGGCCATGGGCCTATTTTCTTCAATGCCGACACTTCTATTCTATTCTATTACCTACCAAAAACTAGTTATGAACGAGCATGCTCATACGTGAAGTAAAAATCCCGTATATTAACTACTAAAATGAAGGCGTAGTGGAAGGGTTAAAGGGACAGAGACTTCATAAAATGCTGAGCTGTCAGTCCACGACGGGCGGTACGGTAAAGGAAAACTCAATGATGGGCGAGATATAATCGGTGGCTATGGGTCGGCCTAGCCCAATTTGTTATAGCCTACCTCTGGTCATTCCTCGGCCACCTGAAAGCCGCCCGTTACAGCAAAAAAAAAAAAGACTGGCTAGGATATTATTTTACAAAGACTACAAGCTCAAGGGTAGCGGCTGGCCGAGCTTATAGGGCCGATCTAGGATTTCACAGGATGATCGCGAATACCTCGCTTTCAGAATTCGCCACAGTCTGACTAGCAGCCTTAAGTCATATAAACTAGTATAAACGATGAGCTATCTCCTTCTTTAACCCTGAAATTCGCAAAACCCGATTAAACAAAGTAGCCAATATCATATCATTTTATTTCGATGCAAGAAAGGAAGATTCTTCCATTCAAATCGAAACGTGTTATACGAGGTACTACTATCAAGACAAGTTCAGCGTTACCTTAACCATCCTACCTGTAAATGTAATATGGTTAAACCGCTTTAAATTAATCTTTGAATCAAGGTAAGAATAGGCTATGGCCGATTTTCATTTGACATGTTTATCCAAACATTAATTGCAAATCGAAAAATCGTCAAAAAAAAGAGATCAATAAATTACGACGTTGATCTGGAAAAAGACATTGACAAAATAAATATAAAAATTTGATGGTCTGGTTTATAGTCGATTATAAATCTAATACCAAAGAATACAGCCTGAGCCATCATGTTTACTAGACACGACTTGCACTATACGAGAACAACTGATGTAGGCCACTTCACCTCAACATTTGAGAATTCTTAAAAGTACGAAATGCCGGCATTGGCAATAGTTGAGTGATATTCTTCCGATTTAAAATCTTTCATCATCTCGCACCATATGCCAGCAATTTGTAATTGGACACTATTTAATTATTTTCGGCTTGGTGAGAAGACGGCACTTTATATATAACATCCCATAAAAATTCATTAACTTCCAGCACACCATTTGAATTTTCATCATTTGAAGCCAAGAAGTTTCAGCAGCTTATGAAGGGCGTTTAACAAATTAAGAGGAATAAGTCAGGTGACAACACATACATAATGTCCCAAATAATTAATGCGAGTTACGTATTATACGTCTCGGACAAATTTACGGCCGGACTTGGGGCCGGTCTCGCGGCCGGACTTGGGGCCGGTCTCGCGGCCGGTCTCCCTAAAACAGTGAACAAGGAATATCTCCCAAAGTAACGAACGTCGCTCAATGAAGCTTGATCTACGTATTCAATAGGACCTAACGGTGATGTGTAGCTCGTGATATTTTTTTAAATTTCGCATTCGTTCGCGAGTTATATAGCTATACGTGCCGAAATTCGCAGTGAACAAGACATTTCTTCCAAAGTACTGAACAGATTTGAATGAAATTTTGAATATGCATTCCTAACTATTCAACGTTAATTTTAATTAAGCTATCGGAACAGTAATGTTTAGTGTCGGAGCAGTAATGGTCGCCCACAGTCAAATTTTTATGGCACAGTCAGTTCGTCTACAGTCAGCTCGAAGCTGAATATAGCGAAAGCTAAAACGGAAACCACAATACTGCATAGTTCCCAGTCGAAACGCTTAAATCAACCTAGTTTGTGTCAAACAAGCTGCGTGAGCAACAAGAAAAAATCGAGATGAAATGGGGCCTGGCGACGTACGCCCACTCCAGCCACATGCAGATTCAAACCTAGATGGCCGAACTAACCAAGCTGTCCGATCGGTTTCGGAAAATTAACGGTCGGCACAGTCAGATTTTAAGGCAAAGCATTCAAAGTCAGAAGATCGTCAAAGTGTAGTCCTCTATGTCAGGAAAACTTGCTCATAAAGATTCGCGACGTAGTTTAAACACGATTGAGGGTCGATCAAGCCAAGACGGCAGAACTAACCATGAGGGCCGATCGGTTTCGGAACAGTAACGGCAGTTACTGTCAACATTGGCACAACAGTAACTGTCAGATTCATTGGCACGGCATTCAACGTCTGTTGATCCTCAACGCGTGGTCCTCATAGTAAAAAAAAACTTATTTATAAAGATTTGCGATGTAGTTTTCAAACACGAGGGTGCCAAATTTTTGCACTGGCGTAAGTTGCAAACGGATTGTAGCAGCACAGGTCCGTCTACAGCCACAGCCGGCGCAAATTCTTTTATCCAAAAGCTACTATGGTTTTTCTTTTCAAAAATTGTTAATTTCCCCTAAATTTTTTTTTTTTTAATTACAAAATGGCTTAAGACAAAAGTAAAAGTACAAAAAGTGCTTTAAGTACAAAATTGCTTAAGACAATGAAGAATGTTCTAATCCAGGAATAGATTGGAGTCATTCTCATATTAATATTTCTGAACAGGGTGATGACGTCATCAGAGCCAAGCGCAGGGCGCTTGTAGTGCGACTCCAGAGGAGCTTGAGTGCTCTCGACTCCCTATCTACTTCTGCGTCCAAAGCTCTACACAACCAATCATAAGCTTCGTCATCAATAATTGTTCTTATGTCTAAATTATGGACCATATTCTTTTGAATTAGGCTAGGTATAGATATTCTGTACTGTTCTATGGACCAACTAAATTTCTGATCAATGAACCCAGCTGACAAACTCAGCTTCCTAGTATTATTTAGTGCCTAGGTGTGAATCGTACATTCCGATTCTGGTTTTTTGATAGCTTTGACGCTTACCTACTGTGTAGGCTCTAATTAAACCAAAATTAATTTTTAATATGTCTTCTACAAGGGAGCGTATGTAGATAATATGTCTTCTACAAGGGAGCGTATGTAGATTTATTGTGCACCCATTTTTGAATGAGGTCTTTGGTGTAATCGTTCCCTTGCGTTTTCAGAATGTGTGATCAGAAAAGGGTAAACTGTCTCTTCTGCTAAAGATTCCTAAGGCTTCATAGTACAACTAGAATAAGTTTAAATTATTTATTGTTTATTGCTTGTAGGCATCTAGATTTTCTCTAATGAAGGTGATTGTTAACTTTGCTGTTGAGATCAAACAGAAACTTTACACGAAATTTAACTCCTTCTTGTAATGCTTTTACTAAAATTTGACGATGTAAATTGGTCGTGCTTTCATCATGTTCTAAATATTTTGCCTAGTGAACATATTAGGGGAAGAAAAACACTTTGTTGTGTGAAAAAATTGTGTAGTTCAGTGTTGTCAGATTGTTGCATTGAGGCTGAAATTCTGTGCCAGTTTATGGTCTTACATCAACCTTGATTCAACATTCAAAACATTAGATTTGGTTTTTATCCTCTACCGCCGTATATCACTCTCCGGGAACATATATTTCAATTAAAATTATACGTAAACTATTGAGTGTAGCAACCTGAAGACGTTTGTACACAACATAAAACATTTTGAAGTTGTCGTACGTGGCGGCAACCATCAGTGCAAGTCATTTTGCGCTCACTAGAACGTATCTCTTTCTGGACGCAGGCTTGTGACAATATTACTCCGATTACACATGTCAGGCGGTAGTGGGTTAAGAAAATTATTTAAATAGTTTAGCTTTGAATCTCTGCAAAATTAAACATATAATCTTTCACGGTAATGAAAGAAAACCAGGTATTTTCTGTATTCTCACAGAATTTGTTATTGATGCGTTCTCGTACTTTCATAGCCTGTATAGTAAATTCCTACTTAGCACCAATTCCAGTTCCCTTTGATCGGTAATTGCTGGTGTTTCTCGGATTAATTTTTTGATTGTCTAGTGTTGAATTAAAGTATTAAACAGTCTTTTACCGAGCATGCTTTTCAGTAGGTCGCATACGTTGATCGTTGGTGACTTTAACCATCCAGAAATAGACTGGACAAATGAATCCTCTGCAGGAGATGGGAATCACCCAGCATCCATGTTCTTGGAATCTGTGCGAGACTCATTTTTAATCCAGAACATCACCAAGCCAGCCCAGTTTAGGGGTAAACAGACCCCAAATATTCTAGATCTAGTGCTCACTAGTGAAGAATTAACGTTAGGTAAGCATGTAAATATGTATATACATGCTCATATGTATATGCGAGACACATGAAGGATTGCCTAAGGTAATAATTACCTGGTACTACAAGTTTAGAATGATGCTTCATATTGCTGCTCTAGTCATTCATGAAATATTGCGTGTTGCAGTTTGTTGTTACCGTGGCAGGGCCGAGGCTGTTTAACGCCCGACCAAAGGATCAAAGAGATGGGGAGTTCACCCTGAAGACCTTCAAGAGACGACTGGACGTGTTCCTGGGCGCACAATCCCTGATCGACCTCCCCTGAAACACTCACTACCAGCGACGGGAACCAGAATGTTCCCTTACCCCCTACATTTTAATATCAATATCAATAAACTAAACCCTCTTACATCCCACGATGTCTTATACAATGTGCTCTAGCAGCGTCTTCCATTAAGGTGGGACTTGGCATCAGGGACCCAACCTCAAACTGCGTGTAACAGGGTCAAA